AGAAAATTAATTATTTGTCCACTCTTTCCTAAACCTTCAAACAGAAGGTGCTGCAACATGTGATGCTTTGTGCTCTGTTTAGAAATACAGTCATTTGTAAATACCAAGTGGTGCCTTCTAGTGAAAGTCATTGCTCACAGTCCTGCTGTGCCACAGGTAAAACCCACAGCCTGAAAAACATCTGCACCTTTTGGGCCTCAGGTGCTTCCCAGCGGGCTTCTCCAGCCTTAAGGATTCAATGGTTCTGTAGGGGGTTGGCTTCGCCTGCAGTGCACAAAACACACCCTCCCCAGCATCCCTCGAGAAGCCACAGAGCTGTCCCCTCCTTGCCTGCACCAGATCCACACACTCCCGGTGTCCGCGGCAGGAGGGCAGGCTGCTCCCAGCATCCAGGTGGGCTGTCACCGGGAACACCACTGGTTTCCAGTCCCGGGGCCAGCGCGGGCCCCGTGGCCACTAGAGGTAGCTCTGCACACACAAACGCACCCAGGAGCCCCGTGGAACCCTCACAGATGCAGCAGATCCCGATGGGTTTGCCCCTGGAGGAGGCCACCCCATGTGCCCCATCTCTTCCCCAGCCTGGCGCCCACAGCAGCAGCTCCTAAAGCCTCTCTGGGCATGAACAGGAGCATTCCAACACCTTGGAATATGCAGTCATCAGATGCTTTAAATCTCTCCTCGCCTTTTCTCCTCAAATCCTGGGGATAATGGGGCTTTTGGAGCCTCCACAGCACCTTCCAGGGATCAAAAATGGCACTGGGGACACAGGACTGGGCTCAGAGCATCTCCCCATGCCATGCTGCCTGGGGGCACCTCTCTGTGGGGAACGTGGGCCAGCACTGCCCCTGGAAACAGGGGGATCTGCCAGAGCCCTGTGAGCAGAACTGCCGAGAGCTGTGCCCAGGCTGGCCCAGGACTGAGGAGCCCCTGCTCAGGCAGAGGGCATGGCCAGCCAGGAGCACCCAGCCCTGATCCTGCCTGAGCTGGGGTCCCTCTGGATGCATCCTGATTCCCCAGCCTTGCTCACACCCTGAACCTTGGAAATGCCTGAACCTCTGAATTTGAGGCTCACTGTGCCTCAAGTCTCACCTCTGCCCACCCCACTGGTCATGCCCTCTGTTCTGCTGGTGGGACAGGGAAAGCTCAGCCAGGGCTGCTCCACACCAGTAGGGCAGGGTGAGCCCAGTTACTCCCAGTTTGGTCTGTGGGTACCACAGGCTCTCATGAGCAGAGGTGTGGAGTATCCTTGGGTGGCACCTGCTCAGCCAGAGCTGCTCCCCTGACCATGGTTCAGGGCAAGCCAAGGAGCCCCAGAGCTTCTCAGGGTGTGTGCAGGTCTCCTTGCCCCACACCCAGCCCCTGTGCCCCCAAACCTGAGTCCTGCACGAGCCCAGAGCCTTGTTCCACACCACAGCTGACCCCACTGCCCCGCTGAGCCACAGTGACCATCTCTTGTTCCTTCCTCAGGGGGTTTCCATGGACAGGGACATCAGGCTCTGAGGGAGAGAAGCAGGGACAGGTTTTTGAGCTGTCTTGGAAGAGTCTGACCCTCTCTGGCCTTCAGCTCCTAACCAAGGCAAGGTCTCTGTGAGCCTGGAACTACTCCCAAACCCAGGACATGCAGGAACACCCCCAACACAGATGCCTGGTGTTTCCTTAAGGCACAAGGCTCTGTCAGGGAGAATGGGCTCCCTGCTGGGATCATTCCCCACAGAACTCAAGTATATTTGTTCAGCTTAAAGGAAAAGCAAAGACTGGGCTGTGACAGCAGCCAAGCTGAGCTGCTGGTAGATCATTAACAGCCTGGCCTGCTCTCTGCCTCAGCCAGAGATTCCCTGAGCACTGCAGAGACTGTGGTCCCCAGGGAAAAGCTTTAACTCAGCCTAAAAACTCCAAGTACGTGAGTGTTGTGTAGTTTATCCACAAAGCCTCTCATCCTACACACCCTGAACCCCCCACGTGCAGCTCACAGGGCTGGCCAGTGCTGAGGCACCTGAGAGAGAGAGGCCAACCTGTGCAGCAAAAGCAAAGAGTCTGAATTAGGGAAAAGCACAAATAAACTCCAAAGTGAGCCCAGCACCTGGGCAGGGGGAGGGAATGCTGTGGCAAGAAGTGGGGTTCAGGTACCTTCAGCTACCTGGGTACCCAGGGCAGCCTCTTTGTTATACCCCGCCCACCTCGCTGCCATTTTGGCCCCAAACCCTCAGCATTTAGCCTCAAAACGTGAAAAAATGTGCAAAAAGCAACTCAGTGCCTGGCAGAGTCCTCTCTGCAGGTAGCAAATGAAACATGAGAGGGCTGGAGCCCAGCCTGTGCATCTGAGGGAAAAACACTTGGGCAGGTTTCGAGGCATCTGCTTCATTCTGGGAAAGATGGGTAAAACCCTGCAAATGTCCCAAAAGCAAAGGGTGGGGAGGGTGGCCCCACCAAATCTTGTTCCCCCAGACCCTCTGCTAGATGGGGATGTGCTCGGTTTCACAAAAAGATAGCCCATTTTGTGGAGCCTTTGAATATTCAAATTGAAAGTATCGCGCAATCATTGATTGTCAAATCATTGGTTTCTAGAGGTTTTAAATACTTGGCATTAGGAGAGAAAAACTCAAACTTATACCCGTAGGGATAAAACAATAATATTGTCGGGATCCACCTGCCACTGCCACCAGGCAGGCAGGTCCCTTCGCCCCCCAGTTTCGAGCCTGTCACCTCTTGCCCCCTTGGCCAGCTCTGGGGCCGGGGCCGGGGCCACCGCGGCTGCAGCACCGGGTACCTGGCGAGGTGCTGCCCCTTCCAGCCCAGGATGTCCGGTAAGCCCCGCTCTGCCCCCCCCGCTGTCCCCCGACACCCCGTTTTGGGGCCGTTTCGGGGTTCGCCGGGGTCACTCCGCGAGCGAGGCGATGCCGCCGTGCCAAGGCGGGAGGGAGCGGGGAGGGCGGGGAGGAGGGAGGGAGGAGGCAGGGGAAGGATCGGCTCCTGCCCGCGCTGGGGCCAGCGGGGCCGGCTCGGGGCACGGCGGGGACCGCGGGCAGAGCCGTCGGGGGGAGCCGGGGCTCGCCCATCGCCGGCGCTGCCGCCGCGATCCCCGCGGAGGGATGGGACAGGCGGACCCGCACCTCCGTGTGCCCTCCCTGCACGCTCTGCCCTGGGCACGCCGCTCTTGAACCCCAGCCCCGGGTCCCAGCCTGTCCTTGGCACCCTGCTCCCGATTTCTCACCTGCCCCGACCACCCTGTGCCCACTCTCGCCACCCGGCCCCTTCATGCCCAGCCCCACCACCCCGTTCTGTGACCCCCAGCCTCATCACCCTTATCCCTGACCCTCAGCCCCACCACCCCGTTCTGTGACCCCCAGCCTTATTACCCTGCCCCTTGACCCCAAACCCACTACCACCACCCTGTTCTCTGACCCCCAGCCCACCCTCACCACCCTGCCCCTTGGCTCCCAGCCCCATCTCCCTGTTCTCTGACCCCAAGCTCACCCTGACTCCCAGCCTGTCCTTGTCACCCTGCTCCTGATTCCACCCCTGCCCTGACCACCCTGTGCCCACCTTGCCCCTTGGCCCCCAACCCCATCACCCTTCTCCCTGACCCTCAGAATCACCCTGATCCCTTGACTCCCAGCCCCCCCTCACCACCCTGCCCCTTGGCCTCCAGCCCATCTCCCTGCCCCTTCCATGCCCAGCCTGCCCAGTGCCACAGAGCTGCCCATGGTAGCCCTGCTCTGGGTGCTTCACCTGCAGGCAGGTGCCTCAGGGTGCCAGAAAACCAAGATCCTGGGGGCATAATGCTCTGCCAGGAGAGCTGCTGCCTCAGAGCCCCCTCTGGCTACAGGGAGGCCTGGCAGTGAGGGTGTTCTCCTAAAATTCAACCCTTCTCTCCCCTCGTCTTCCCCATCTGCTGTTTGTTGGATAGAAGGAAAACATCAAAACTATGAGATGAATAATCCCCAGCTGAGCACAGCCCAGCAAACTGCCCCCGAGGCAGCCCCAGCTCAGCTGTCACCTCTCTGGAGGGTGTCACAGCTTGTCCCCACCCCGAGCACCACGGGGGCACTGGGAGGGCTGGGCAGGACCCCGTGCATCCCCTGGGCACTGGGAGAGGCTGTGGCAGGAGGGAACAGTGCCCACAGCGTGGGATTGCCTGGGTGTGGGGGCAGAACCTGCAAATCCAGCTCTGTCCTCTTGCCAGGATCTGCTGGCACCGTGCAGCTGGTGACTGTCTGGGAGAAGGTGCTGTTCCCCATCCAGAGGTGGCACTGGAAGGCCAGCTTTAGCCCTGGCACTCCTGCTCCTTCAGGGCTGTCTGCTCTGGCTTTTTTTTTTTTTGGGTGTAGAGAATGGCCTGGGCTTGTTGCCCCCTTGTCATGTGATTTGGATTAAAACAACTGCCACAGGTTTAAATATTTTACCATGAATACAGCAAGGGAAAGGGATTTTTCAGGATACCCAAATTCTTTGCCATTCCCTAAAAATCCCCCATCAGGTAGTGCCTGGTGATTGCTGATTATTTTCAGCTGGATTAAAGACATCCTAAATGCTTGTTGAAGTCAATGGGAGTTGTACATGGCCAAAGTAAAGAGACAATCTAGGCTTTGCAAGAAGTGATTCGTGAAAGCAGTCATTTTATTTGTGTTTTGTTTAGCCCTCTGCACAACCACCCACATATTTCCATTGTTTTATTCCTGGTCTTCCTCTGCCAGATGAAGTGCTTCCCACGTTTATTTTCAGGTCCTGAGAGAGGCAAATATGTTAGGAATTTAAATAAATTCAACAGCAGCAGCAGATGGAGCTCAGTATTAGGAAAGCTGGAGGGAGGGCAGGGGGAAGAAGGAGATAGAGAAGTATAAAACATGTGTGGTCACTAAATATTATCTACTCCAACTTTTCCATAAGTGTCTGCTTGTCACAAGCTCGAATAACAGGCCTTCAAAAGGGCTGTAAACTGTGATTGCAGGGGACTAAGTGACCAGTTAATCGTGGTAACTTTACACTGAAATCATGCTGGATTTGCTGTTTGCTCTCCCTTCCTGCAAAGTGTTTTTCCACAAACTCTTTCAGGAAAGCCCAAGGTGTACCAAGGTGTCAGAGTAAAGATCACAGTGAAGGAGTTACTGCAGCAGAGAAGAGCACGACAGGCAGCAACTGGTTCAGCAGTGAGTAAAAATATTTTGTTGTTTGCTTTGTCTCTTCTCTGTTTATTTTCCTTTTTTTTTTTTTTTTTGCCAAGACTGTAATCTCTGGGCCCAAATGGCTACCAAAGCCTGAGTGTAACAGGGAAAAAACATTCAGCCAGTGATCTAAAGGGGTGAGAATCTGTGCAGGGAGAGAGCAGAGCTGGTGCTCCAGAAGCATCACTCAGCCTGGGATGAAAGGTTCACCTTCCAGAGGAGGGGATGGAGTTCTGTGTGAACTCACACTGTCTCACTCACTCTTCCAGCCTTTGGCTCCAGCCACTCCAGGGATTTGCACAGAGAGGCTGGTAAATCATGATTTCTTCCTGGTTCGTGACACCCCAACTGCGGAAGGCTTTCAGATCTCAGTCGCTGTGCCTCGCTGCAGCCGATCGCACAAAAAGCTGCTCGGGCACGGGCACAGGGGGCCGGGGGAGCAGCGCACGGAACTGCCAGGCTCTGGAAATGCTGGGTCACTCCTCCCCTGCAGCCCCGGCAGCATCACAAGGGCTGAGCCGAACCGGTTTTCACTTCCCACCGCCGGTTTACACATCACATCACCTGCGGAGCCCACACAGGAAAGAGTGAGCGGTGGCAGAGCAGGGGGTTACCTCGGTGAGCTGCACAAGGTGTGTGCAGCCCTGCAGAGGAAAACCCCAGAGGTCTGCCTGGCTGCACATCTCACCAGAGAGGAGAGGGGTGGTCAGTCCTGCAGGCACTCCCAGCCCAGAACAGCCACTGTCCCATGAATTAAATGCACGGGGTGTGCTGGGAAGTTGTTGCCAGGGAAATGAGCTGCTGACTCAAGAGCATGTGGAATAAAGGAAATGAAGTGGAAGCTTGTATGAGTTAAAACCGAGAGGAAAAAAAAAAAAAAACCAACCCAAAATCAAACAACAGCAGTATTTGTATTTGCAGAGTGAAATCCTGGTCCCAAACAAGCATCAAAACTCCTGTTGCTTTTGGGGTGGATTTCTCGCTTCCAGCAGGTCCTAGAAATGGGTGATCTGTCCCCTTCAGCTTCCAATATCCCTTAAAAAACGAGGCTGTCCATTTTCACAGAGCACAGAGCTGTGTTGGAGTGGGGAGCAGTGCCAGAGCTGGCTCTCCAACCACATCAGCACCGAGCACAGCAACCCACTCTGATGCCCAGCCTCGGGGACACGTGCAGTTGTCATTAGTGAATTACTCATTCTCAGTAATATTCACCCCTAGGAATTCTTTGGGATCCTTCCACTGTGGAATTCACGGTCCTGGAAATTAACACACATTTGTTTCAAGGGCATTCGTTTGAACACACGTCAGTTTTCAAAGCAAACCTCTGTTGAGTCAGAAATGCAGCAGAAAGATCAGACCAGCATGGGGTTGGTTCAGGGCTTTAAACCAGCCTGGGGTTGTGCTTCTCCCACATTGCTACAGGAAAAATCACGTTGTGCACATCAATCTAACGTTCTGTCAGCACCAGGGAAGTTTCCCAGGTGGAAACGAGGGAAATAAGGTTTACATAAATAGGTTACACCGAAATCCAGACTTACCTTGCTCTCCCCTGTGTCCTTTCCTTCCTCTCTCTTTGCCCAGGTATCTTGGGGCAGCAGCAGCAGCATCCAGTTCTCAGAGTCTGTGTCTCCGCCTCACCCAGGTTGGTACAAAGCCCGTGCACATGTCCCATCCCACTCCCTTCCCAGTTTTCCCACAGCCCGGAGCTTTCCCAGCCCTTGGCTGAGTCAGGCACTACCCACAGTGCAGCCAATCAGCACCTGAAAGGAGCCCATGGAATGCAGATGAGGGGCACATTCACCCCCTCGGGAGCACTCTCACACCCTCTCTTCTCTGCAAGTTGTTTTTCCCACAGCAAGGACCAAGATCCCCCTCAGGAAGGGATGCACATCCCCCAGGGAATAACACCTTCCCTAGGCTCTGCTCTCTGGGTTTCACTGGACACAGAGGGTCAGGTTGCCCTGGAGCACTTGGCTGACTCCTGCTCTGTTCTCTCCCTCCTGGCAGCATCCAGAGGAGTGAGAGCAGTGTCAGGTTCTCAACAGCACAAAGAGTTTCCTCCTCCTGCCTGTGAATATCCAAGGAAAGGGGAGAGGGTTGGGGGAACAGCACTTTGGGCTCACAGATCCTTCAATTATTCCTCAGCCAAAGCCCAGAGACCGAAAAGGTTGGGCAAGTGTGAAGGCACACACTGCATGGATAAGGGAATTATTGAGCCATTCATAGCTGGCAATCAATTTGCTTATGTTAATAAGGAAACGTGAGACATACCAAAGCTTTTTCGGGCTGGAAAGCCTCCACCAGTTTATGTATTTTGGGTGCTTCCCACTTCCTCCCCACATCCAGCCAAACACTGCCACCTTGGAGCTGCATGTGGAGCTCCACTGCCCTCAGACCTGTGCCCTTCACGTGGACAGGGCTTTGCTTTTAACCATATTTAAACACAGGGTGAAAGGACAATAATGCTGAAAAGCCAGGTCTGCTGTGAGCTTTCCAGGAACTCACCCTTTGGCCAGGAACATTGTGTGGAGGCAGGGCCACGTTATCCCTGAGCTGCTGCATTTGGTCTGCTCAGAGCTTCATCTCCTGTCTGGCTGTTTGGGGGATAAAAGAGCAAATTACTCTCCTGTGACCCCCTTCTTCCTGCAAATGCAGCTGCCCCGTGGCTGGAGATGGGTGAGGCACAGGAACAAGCCCTGTGCCAGGCTGTGGAGCATAAATCACTGCATGGCAAGATTCTGGCTCTGTAAACACTTGTAGGAAGGCTGGAGGGTCAAGAATTTGAAGGAGTTTCCATCTGCATCCCAGTCCAAAATGCCTGGGGCCAGAAGAGTTTCCAGCAGTATTTAAAGAGCTTCTTTCCAAGGGGACTGAAGTTCCCCAAGTTACTCACATGTTTTGAGCATCTTCCTCCTGGTTTCTGCTTCCCTAGAAAATCCACCCTGAACTCGCAGGACCTTTTCCTTTGTCTAAATCCACAGGGCTGGTGAACACATGAGAGCACTGAAACCTGGCCTGGGGCAAAACCTGCCCTGTGTGACACTGAATAACCTGTTCCTGTCTGCTCTCCCTTCTCTCCCAGCCCCTTTTGATGCAGAGCCCATCTCTTCTGTCCCCAACTGCTGCCCCTCCTGGCAGTTTTCCAACTGCCTCTCCTGTGAGGAAAGCCCCAGCTACTTGGAGCAGCTGATAGATTCCTGTCTGCAGTCGGATGTGCCCTCGGAGCCAGCCTGCAGTGCTTTCCAGCCATCACACTACACCCCAGACACCTTCCAGCCCGTCCCTCTCTGCTTTAACCAGGGCCTGGTAAGCTTTGTGTCCCCGGGGAACAGCCACAGGGGGAAGTGGGGAGGGGAATCAGGTCCTGGGGCAGAGCAGCAGCCAACCAGTTGGGGAATCTGGCTGCTTTTAGGGGATGCAGTGACACAGGCTGCTTGGGTGGGCTCTGAAGGGTTTCCCAGAGGACAGGGAGGCTCAGCCAAACCAAGGGAGAGGCTGCAGAACAGGGGATGTTCCCTCTGTGGGTCCTGTAGGTTTTCAGCAAAGTTCCTGCTAGTACCTGTCTAACTCAGAGAAACTCCCTTTTAACACTGATGCCACAGGAACTGTCTCTTGGGTTTAGACCCCCAGGGACCAAACCACCTCCCTGGGTAGCCAGACCCCTCTGAGAAAGGCAACAGCACGAAAATCCTGCCTGCTCTCCACATTTCCCAAACACCCCACAATTCCCCCGACGACGCCCTGAAATGTCCTTTTTTTCCCTTCTCCTGTTTTTTTTTTTTTCTCTCTCTCCCTCACTCTGCAGGCTGCCAGCCCTCCCAGCTCAGCTGACCTGCCCAGCCCAGTGAACCACAGCTGCTCCCCTGCCCAGCTCTCTCCTCTGACCCCGCTGACCCCCAGCCCTCCCCCTGCTCTGGACACCAGGACCTACAGCTGCCCCGGGGAGGAGTGGTCCTGCCTTGCCCCCTGCCCCTTCCCCAGCCCTGCCTGCTGCTGCACAGCCTGTGGCTCCCAGCCCTGGGACAGCAGGGTCCCCCAGTGCTTCCCCTGCCCCAGCACGGACTGCCTGGACTACCTGCCCCCCCTGGCCATGGCCGAGGACTTCTTCAGGAGGGACAGGAGCTGGGACATTTGCTACAGCTAATGGGGGCTGTGGTTGTGCACACCCACTCCACCCAGAGCAGATTAATTGCCCATGAACTATGCAAAGTCGTGCTGCCTGACACAGCCCAGGCTGTTCTTCACTACTCACATATTTTTGTACACCATGCTGTCACTACATTAATCCTCCTTGATGTTGTTGTGGTGGTGGTCTGGTGGGGTTTTTCCCCCCCCCCCCGTCTGTTTTTGTTGATGTTGTTGTTTTTTAAAGAGATCCAAAGCTGCCTTATCCCACATGTCATCACGCCGGCTCTTTTTGATACAAATAAATGATTTTGTGCACCTGCTGAAGCCTCTTCATTCCTCACAGGCTGAATGTCAGTGCTCTTCTCTAGTGCTGGTGATCCAGGGTGCTGCCCCTGTCCTCACAAAAAGGTTTTGAGGAGCTGCACGAGGAGCACTGACTCAGTGACATGAAAGGTGTCACTTTAACCTTTCCAGCAGATAAAAGGTCTGTGTGTGACCCAGAGCCCAGCACTGTCCCCACGGAGAGCTGTGAGCTGGATCTGCAGCTCCTCACCTGCTGCTTCTGCTCAGGCTGCCCTGATGATGTTCCCTAAAAAAACTGCTGTTTTCCACCCAAGCCCAGGGCCCCTCAGAGCTGCAAAGAGGTGGAATCCGCTGCCAAACTTCTTTGGCTGCTGCTCAGCACCAGCTTCCCTGTGAGAAGTGAGAGGCTGAGGTAGTTTGGCAGCCCTTCGTGGAGTTGGGGCTGTTGATAACATTTTTTTTCTGCACCTTTCAGCAGAATCAACTGAACAGCAGCTAAATGATTTTTTTTTTTTTTAAAGTAGATAATGGGAAAGTTACACCTGAGTATTTCCTGTTTCTTGCATAAACCCAGACCTTTCTAAGACTCTGTCTCGCCTCCTTTTAATAGCACTGGGGGAGGCAGATTGCCAAGACACCAGTTTCTCAGCTGAGCACCCAGACTGGAAAGAAAGAAGCATCTTTTCACATTAAATCCAACAAAAATGAAAAAAAACCCCTAATCACCTGTGAAGACAAAGCCATAATTTATCTAGCTGTGTGTTCACCTCCTCCAGACACTTCTGCACTTCACTGCAAAGCTTTCCAGTCCCTTTACCTTATGCAAGGTGGCAGGGTTTTTTCTCCAAAACATGCTTTAAAATATTTTGACAACTTCAAATAATATCTCCCCTTCCCCCCTGCTGTTACCTGATTAATCTCAGAGGTTGCCAAAGTGATAAATTCATCAGGTCACAGAACACTCACAAACAGCTGTATCTTTGCAGCAGTTCGAGGTGTGATCACCCCCGTGCAGAGACACCCTGTTAGGTGTCATTTTAGCAGTGCTGGTGGGTGCTTCAGCCCCTGGGTGTTATTTTGGGACAGTGGAGGGCAACACTCCTGCCCCAGCCTGCTCCAAGCCTTGCTAAGTGCCACTACAAGGAGCAGGAGCACCTTGAGCCACAGTCAAAGCCCCTTATCAGTAAAGTGAAAGAGCTGAGGCAAAATTCCCGAGGCTTCTGGACGAAATGGGGTGACCACATCCTCCCCACGAGCTGGCAACATTGGCCTGAGCTTGACAGAGCCAAGGGGATGCTCTGGAGAGCAGAGGGCACGTGAGATGGTAACTAAGCACTCGAGGAGGGCTCGTGTTAATACATCTCACAGCAAGGGGAGGAGTATCCTAAATCTACACAACAGCTCCAGCAAGGAAATCAAGGGCTAGAGGCTAACAAGATGTCTTTCACCTCCACATCTAGTAGCCTGAGCTGCTCTGAAATTATCGACTACTCCACTGGGATAAGGATATTTTCGGCAAAATGTTTCTATGCACCAAGGTCTCCAGGCTCTAACAGCTTCCATTAATTAATTGTCACTGCCCTCCATCCCCTGCAGCCTCCTTCTGTTGCCCTGCTGCTCCTTCTCCAGCTGTTTTGCAATGTCCCAGACTGGAAACGTGTCTGAGATGCTGTTCCCCAGCTCCCTGTCAACAGCTCCAGGCCACACATGCAGTGCAAGTAAAAGCTTGCTGGCTGTTGACACAACGTCTTATTGACACAAGGAAAGGAAAAAAACACAACAGAGGAACCATTCAAAGGTTGATTGTGCATTTTCTGGCTATGAGGAACATATTCTTTCCCTCCTTTATCCCCCCTCCAAAATAAAAAAGGGTTCAAAGTAGCTTTGAGAGCTGGCACAGCCCTATTGAGACTGTGGTGTGTCATCAATCCCTGCCAGGTGAAGCCCTGCCAGCCTTTATAAACACATGTTTACACAAAAATGAGGATCATCTCATGCTTACAAAAGCCATTAATAACTCCAAAAGTAACCTGCAGTTATAGAGAAAAGAAAAGATTCTTATTTTCAGGTTCTTTAACCAGTTGCACAGACTATTTGATCTAAAAGTTTGACTTGCCAACCAACTGACAGCTTTTCTATGGTGCCACTTCAGAGCACTTGTTTGGTGATAACAAGCCTTTGTTATTAGCAACTTCTCCAAAGCCACAGGTAGGAAGAGATAAACTGTGCAAATAAAGGGATATCACACACTGCCAGCTGGAGAAGTCACATTTCCCCTGAAACAGCCAGAGAAAATTGAGGGGTTAAGTGTGAACTGTTTAAACCAGTGAAATTCCCCCAGTGCAGAAGACACCTGGGAGGCTTAAAAGGATTTTCTTGTTACACACTCTGGTTGGAAAGGGAAAGGAGTTTTACCTGCAGCAGCCTCCAGCTGTCTGGTGGCTCCAGTCCAAAGCCAACATGAATAACTTGTTGGTTGTGGCTTCAGAGCAGCCCTGTGATGTCTGAGCTTTGGGAATTTAGGTACCTGGAGAGAGAAGGAATCCTTCCAGTGTCTGTCACGGGCTCTTCCCACTGCAAACCTCACCCACCAGCTCCGAGCAACACCAGCTGCCAGGGGGATGCTCTGAATGAAGCCACATCCCTCCCCAGGAGGACATTTTCCCTGATATTCTGGAGGTGGTGATGACTCCAGACAATCCCATTGCAATTACAAACAGCTACAACAACCACGTAGCTCTGCACTGATCACCCAACAGCAGGCAGGTGACACAACACAGAGAAAAGCCACTCAAGAAACAAAAAAAACATTTTTTTTTTTTTTTAACACGTGCTGCAAAAGGACTCCAGTCATCCCACAGACATTTCTAGATGGCAAAAAGCTTTTTTACATGTCCCCTGGTGCATCACATGCCACGTGCTGCTCGCAGTCTGGCAGCTTTGTCGCCGGCAAGTTCAAGAGATGGATATTTTATTGATCATTTTGTCTTGACACACGGTACTGACTCACTGATACAGTTATCCCTCAATCCAGGGCTTGTTATAACATCCTTCAAAGTAAGAAAGCACATGCTTTTGCTGGCCTATGCCCAGGTATATGCAAATTTATGCAAACACATGCAAATACGTGGCTGGTTTTTTTTTTCCTTCAGGGGATGTTGGCAGGTTTGGAGATGTGATGTAGTGGGAAGCAATAGCAAAACAGCAGAGAAGAGGGCTGGAAAATCGAGATCTCTGCATTTCTTAAGAGCTTTTGTTCAAGTCTGCTAAGGAGTTGTTTAAACACTGCAGACCTGTGAGAGTGACAGTGCTCCAGAAACTCCCACGCCCCCGAGTCAGGCAGGGGGGGATCAAGGAAGTGCTGCAGTGATTTAAGGGATCTGCCCCTCACTTCACTCCTCTGGCCTGTCAGAGAAAAGATCCTGTGCAGCCTTGAGAAATCAGCAAACCAGAATTCAGGGGGAGCACTGGGGATGAGACATCCTCTGCCAAAGGGGTGGCAAAACATGGCTTTGCCTCCCTGCAGGCACCTGCCCTCAGTGTGCTGAGCCAGCAGAGCCACTTCTGCCAGTGATTGCACAGCAATTCACAGATTATTTCACAGAAACACTAAGAAGAACCTCTTGAGACCCCCCCTCAGCTGAGAATGGGAATGGGAGAGCACTCACCCATTGCACTCTGCCCCTGCTGTGCACAGACCCACACGGGTTTTCTACCCTGGACGTGCCTAAAAGTTATTTCAGACCCAAAGGAATCCTGTGTGTCCTACACAGGCTCAGGTGAGGGTTCAGCTCCTCACCCTGAGGTGTTTTCTGAGCTATTCTGTGCCACCAGAGCTGGAGATTTGGGCTGGATTAGATGTCTCAAAGAGGAATCCCTGCACTGGGAAATACTGAGGAGCCACCCAAACCTGTGCTGCTGAGGACCTGCCCCTTGTACTTGCTCTTAAAACCATCTCTTTTCTTTTCTTGGGGTGGGGTGAGAGACTGGCCATGGGGAGCTGCTTTGAGTTTCTTCCAAAGTACTAAGAAATGGGGTAGCAGCAGCTTGAAATAACCCTCTTTGGGGTCTTGGTTTGGATGTCCATTCCCTCAGGTGAAAAACAGCCTTGGATGACTCCTCAGGCTGACCTGACCTCTTCCATCCAGCCTTTTCCCTCCCCTCAGGTTCCTGCATTCCCAGGGCAGCAGGATCAGTGGGAACTGCACATCACAAAGGCTCCAGTATTTCAACCAGTACCTCTGTGCAGGACCCAACAAGAGGCACGGTTTGAGGGTGTCTCAGAACAGCATTTCTCAACCTTTTTGTAGCCAAACTACCACCTGGTGCTCCACCACCTCCATGGGCTTCAGTTGGCACCAAATCAAAGCTTGACTGTGCTTCAAACACGTCCTTATTCATGGAAGAGCCATTTGCTTTGCCTGCCTCCTTCCCTGCAAACAAAGCTCGAGGCTTATCAATACTCTTTGGTAACAAAATTAAGTATTCAGCCATTTGAAATCTCATCTCCAGGTTGAGAAACACTGTCTTCCCACCCTGGTTTAAGCCTGTAGGAGCAGGGATTTGTTGGTGAACCACCCTCACAGTCTGTATGAGAGGCCTCAGGCCATCAGCAAGCTGAAGGTGAAGCCATTCCATGAATTTCAGGCAGCCTAGGATCTGGCATTTCGGCGGCAGGAAAGGAAGGCAGATGCAACTTTCCCTTTCTTCAGCAGATGCCTGACCTGCCAAAAAAAAAGAAGTTCATAAAGGACCATCTGAACCCAAAGCATACACACAAACACACACACACACACTTATATACATGGATATGTGCAACTAAATACACATTTCAACACACTGGGGGCTACAGGGAGCTCCAGGAACGTTTTCACCCCTGCAGGCACAACACCCAACCCCTTCTGAGTGTGCAGGTGACCAGTAATCCCATACCTGTTCCCCAGCTCTCCCAGAGGGGGCCATGTGGATGGGCTGGTCGTTGTCCAGGTTCCTGATGCTCGGGTCTGCCCCGTGGGCCAGGAGCAGCTGCACCATTTCCTTCTGGTTCTTGTGCCCAGGCAGGGCAGCTGCCATGTGCAGGGCTGTGTTACCATGTGCCTGAAAGGAAAAGAGGTAAAAAGCCCAGATAAAGCTCCTGCTAAGCTGTGCCACCTCCTCGGGGTTGTCCTTGAAATGGAGATCTGTGAAATGAGAGCTGAAGAAGCCCTGTGTCATCACTAACCAGGAGGTGAGGGAGCATCTCTGCTCTGTTTCTCCCATGCAGGAGATTTGTGGATTTAGATTTTTCTGTCTTTTAGAGCGCTACAAACTGTGGGGCTTTGATGCTTGGGGTATAACTAAATGAAAAACCCTGTACCAACAACATTCCTGATTGCTCTGCAACCCCCTGATAAATCATACCCTCGTGTGAGCAGAGACCTGAGGGGTTATTTGAGGAAGAGAAGGATGGAACATGCATGTTTATCCCTGGAAATATTTCCCTGGGAAGCACTAAGCAGGATTTAGAGGCACAAAGCCCATTGTGCTGCTACACACCACGCGTGGGCTGGACAAGAGCAGAGCCAGCTGTGCTCCACACATCCCCACTGCTCCCTTTCCCAACACTTGCAAGGGCCAGAAAGCTGCAGAATCCTGAGGTCAGGCACTCCCTTGAGCATGGATCGAGTCCAGCTTTTCCAGTAACAGGATCTGCATAGGAAGGACAGAGCTGGCTGTGAAGCTGGGCAGGGGGGCAGGATGGAGAGCGCTGCAATTTGGGGCAGGAAAGCTCTGGTGCCACCAGACCGTGCAGAAATCTGGGCCCTGTCTAGTCAGTTATGACTGGTAACGGTTTTAAATGAGAAAAACCTAATAAACAAATGCATAAGGGGAGGTATTTTTAGTCTACAAGAGTCTCATTCGGGCAGCTGCTTGTTTTTCTCTCAGAAAAGACCATACATTTGTCATGAACTTGGAATAACTGGGCAGAAATTGCAATGTGTGCTGCTATTCCAGCTGTTAAAATGAACACACATGATTTTCAGGTCCTATTTATCGGGGATATTGAGGCAGAAAATACAATAGCAAGGTCCTAACAGCTCTCCTCAGACAAGGCACGTTTTACAAGCCCTGAACAAGCAGATCCTTGTCTGGTTTATCATCCCAGAGAGCCAAGGGACAGTTACAAGCTCTTTACAGGATTTCTCGTTAAAATGGAAACATCTGCATTTGTTTGCTGCACCTTTGTGGCAGGAGCACTTGGCAGCTTCCAAATCCAGGCCTGGGCTCAGAAAACAAGGATCTGACAACACCTGACCTTGAAGCCTCACGTTGACTTTAACAGGGCTGATGTGAGACAACGGCCAGAGCACCAACTTGTGGGCTCTGGGAACCCTCCAGGTGAAAAAGACCTTTAAGATCTCAGTGTTTGGGGTTTTTTTTTTCCCATTGTGAAATCCCCAAGGAAGCAGATTTGCAATGAGACGACCACAACAAGCAGTGGGTGAGTCAGGGAAGCCAAAAATATGGACTCCAGGGTGCTTTGTTTCCTTGTTTTCTTTGTACTTGGAAGAGCTAAAAATCCAGGTTGGGTATCAGACAACCTCCCCATCACATTTCTCACTGTCCCAGACAGCTCAGCAACAAGACTGAAGACTCCAAGTGATCCTATCACAGCAGGGAGCTCTCTGAGGGTTGTGATCAAGAGACAAGAGCAGCCTGCCATGGACAAGCCAGCACCTGCCTGATGGGTCTCCAAAGATACAGAAGGAATGTAGGGAAAAGGCCCTTCACTGGACAGAGGGACACAAACTCAGTGCTTTTACCCACAGACACAAAGCCAAACATGGTTGCTACAGAAATCTGAAGGGAAAAAAAAGGACTGAAGCTGTCCAGGGTCTGCCTCCTGAGTGAGTTGATGGAAAACATTCGATTCCTTTTTGATAGACAAAAACATGTGGGGGGGAAGAGAAGAACTGGAATCTGGAGGACCCCTAATGCAGCCTCCCACTGCAGCACAGCTCCCACACTGCTCCCAGCATCTCCTCTGCCTGGAGATGTGCTCACAAACCCCCTCCAGGCTCGCCCTGACTCACCTTGTTGTTGACAAAGTCCTTGGACTTGAAAGCATTCAGCTCCAAGAAGTATCTGAGCAGGGAGAGGTTCCCATCCTGGACTGTGTAATGAAGAACTGTCTTGTTGCTTTTCACATCCTGTTTATAAAAACAGGAGAAAATAAAACCAAAACAAACAGAACAAGAAATGTTCTGCAGAACAACCTGGAGATATTCTATAAACCCAGGCCAGCTCTGCAGCTCCTGTGGAGCATCTCCTTCCCTTCAGCGACCCTCTGACCGCCCAGTGTTTGCTCCGGGCTGCAAGAAAGGAGCCCCCAAAAGCAGCACCTAACTCTGCAACCAGTGCCTTGGAAAATCCCTTCTCCAATTCCCCGTTTTGAGCACGGCACAAGCACCAGGGAGGACTGAGGGATGGCAGAGCTGCCCCTCACCCTGCTGTAGATGGAGGCCCCGGTGTGCACCAGGAGGTGGATGCAGGATTCCAGCTCCTCACTCTGCTGCTGGAGGTCTTTGTGCTGCTCCTGGGTGAGGCTCTGGCAGCTCTGCTCCCGGAGCAGGGTGTTGTGGGCCAGCACAGCACAGTGCAGGGGGGTATGGCCTGGAAAAACAAGGATGGCAGGGAGAGAACCACAGTCCAACCAAAAATACCGATGCAGAGAGCTGGCATGGAGAGCACGTGCCTCTCTCTGCATGTGTTGTCAACCCACAAGCCCTTCTCTGCTCTCCAATGTACCACATTGTCTGCATGGACAATTTTTGGGGCTCTCCAGCATCTGCTCGTTTCCAGTTGTGCCTTGAATCCCCTCTGAACCATTCAATTCCGTGGCATTTGAATCCCCTCTGAACCATTCAATTCCGTGGCATTTGAGTGCTCAGACACAACTGTCTCCCCCCCAGGCAGTTCCTGAGCCCACTCTGGTCTCCCAGCCCCAAATCCCAATGAGCAGCAGACAGTGAAATAGCCAATACAGGTTTTCAGGCCACTGTAAAATATCTGTGCAAAGGGTTTTACCTTCAAAATCCTTCATTTCTAAGTCAAGAGGGAAACCCAGGGACAGTATAACCTGGAAGCAACAGAGAAATTGAAAATTTCAGTTCAGCAGAACAGTGTCCAAGCCAGAATCTGTCAAAACCAACAAACTTTAAAATCAAACAAATCAGATGATGATAATTTCACTGCAAACTAAGCCCTTTTTTGACACTAGATATCAGTGCTGTGAGTCTGTTTCCTAACAGGGATATTCAGGGTTACACAAGATGATCATGTTCCCTAGATTCTTAAACCCCACCTTATTATAATATCATATGAGATTTATAATATCATATTAGATTTATAATATAATATTAGATTTATAATATAATATTAGATATATAATATCATATTAGATTTATAGTTCAGAACAGTAACATTTAGCCACTGCCCCCAGCTCAGGAGTTCCAGCCTCCTCACTCTCACCATGGATTAGGCAAAGACACCAGTAAGCAGAAATGAAAATTTCTCCTTGACAGGTTCAGCCAAACTTTATCACCTAAAAGTTCACCAACACTGACTATTCTCAGGTGGATTTATTTGCTTTTTGGTTTTAGTGTGTGAGAAGTTAAACCCACAGCTTGCTGCAGCAATGAGGATGCAGAGACTAGAAATGGCCTGAACAGTGATCTGGAGGTGAGCATTGCTTGGGGTTACAAATTTTAAAATAAAGAAACAAAGGGGTTTTTTAAATAAAGAGAAAAAAAATTTAAACCCTTGAATGTAAGGAAGTGATAGTTTCAGTGTGAAGAAGCTAAGCATATATTACTTATATATATAAGTATTACTTATATATATAATATATATTTTTTTCTGTATTACTATGGATAATGTATTTCTTTCTCTTGATTGAATAAAACAAGTTGTTCCCATTACAAGACTGAGCATTTTTGCAGTGCAGTGACTTATCCAGAACTCAGAGAAGAGAAGGCACAGGAATCTTGCTGCTGAAAGATGATCCAGAACAGTTGGGGCCTGACTTATCTTCTCATAACAACAATAAAATATATGCAGATCAAATATTGACAAGCAGCTCTGAGGTGCTTGATTATTAGAGATTAGATAGTTAATCCATTAGGGGGAAAAAAAAAAAACCCACAATAAAATAAACAAGCAAACCATAAAGCCTTTCATGGCTTTGACCACACCGAGAAGTCAGTGTGTGTGAGTTTTCCCTTTCAGTGGCAAGGGGGGGGGGGGAAAAAAAAAAAAAAAAAAAAAGAGAAAAAAAAACATAAAAGAAAAGCCAAACAAAGAAACCCTGAAACACAAACCACCCCAAGGCACTCTGGGAGGCTTTGTTGGAATGGTCTGTGTTAAAACACTTCTCCCCGCTGAAGGAAACACCTGTTTTCCAAGGAACTCTCCGTGTTACACATTAACTGCCCGCTCGGGGCTTAACCCGGGGCACGTGCCAGGCAGAGCTAACGAATGCTGGGGATGCAATGCCAACATGCCAGGCACCCCCTGGCACCCCATCCCCGTGCCCTGCCCTCAGGTAACCCCAGCACAGCCACAGAACTGCCTGTGCTCGGGCCCGACACCACTCAGGGCAGGGATGTTTCAGTGATTCCATTTTATGGCCAATAGTTGAGCATTTAAGACACGTGCCTGCTGATCCCTGCTGTGTAATCCCTTCCCAGAATCCCCACAGTGCCTTTTTAGATGTGCTAATTTGCTCTTCAGGGCTGGCACACGAATCAGGTGGAGTCCCTGTCTGCAGAGAGATTTGTGGAGCAACAGAGAAGCGAAGGTCTGCTCATGTCAGTCACGTTTTGAGTGAAACCTGAAAAAACACCTCATTTTGAAGGCTGAGCCTGTGCTGTCCCTGCCTGCAGGGTCCCATCTGCTCTCTCCCCAGCTGGCTTGAGTCTGGACACAATTCCCTGCTCCCATCTGAATGACGCTGATCCCAGGGAGGGGGTTTCACCCTGGTTTTTGTGCTCCCCCTCCTCACACCCCCCGGCTGGGGAACCCCCTCCAATGCAGAACCACACTGGGGGCTCAAGGCACAGCAACCCCACCCTGCTGGTGGCCAAACCAGCAGGTTTAGAGCCATGATCTGCAGAAAGAATGCAAAGATTTTTCCTCTGTGACAGGAGGCTGACACTGGCTGCAAATACAGCCCTAAAACAGGAGAAAAACCACCCCTGGGAGGTCAATTCCTAACACAAGGAGTTTTTAGTCAGTCTGCCCTGCTTGCTGACACTTTTACCTTCTAAGAGAGTTGTTTAAAGACACCAACATCAACACTTTACCGAGGGTATCAAAGCCATAAAGCCTCTCCCACCTGGAGGACTTGGGCATAGCCATAGGTGGCAGCGAGGTGCAGAGCTGACTGCCCTTTGTTGTCCACGGCGTTGACATCTGCTCCTGCCTGGATCAGGTCGTGGACAATGGCTGGCTGCCTGGCAGTGACAGCCACCAGCAGGGGAGTCTGGAACAGCAGAGGAACGTGAGGGTCTGACAGCACAAAACAAGGAATGGGGAAAGCTCAGTGATGCCCGGAATCCCGAGGGCTGTGCTGCCCAAAAGGGAGACGGCTCACAGGGTGATTTAGAATCCCACATGACTCCTTGACAGGTTCAGCCAAACTTTATCACCTAAAAGTTCACCAACACTGACAATTCTCAGGTGGATTTATTTGCTTTTTGCTTTTAGTGTGTGAGAAGTTAAACCCACAGCTTGCTGCAGCAATGAGGATGCAGAGACTAGAAATGGCCTGAACAGTGATCTGGAGGTGAGCATTGCTTGGGGTTACAAATTTTAAAATAAAGAAACAAAGATTTTTTTTAAATAAAGAGAAAAAAAATTTAAACTCTTGAATGTAAGAAAGTGATAGATTCAATGTGAAGAAGCTAAGCATATATTATTTATATATATAAGTATTACTTATATGTGTGGATCCCGAGATGGGGGCACTGCCCAGCTCTGGCAGAACTCCCTCTAGTGCTCTCCAGCCCCAGTTTGGCTGACAACCCACACCCAGCGTTTTTGGAGCACCGATTCCATCAGGTGCAGCCCTCCTGGCACCAACCAGTTGCTCATAAAACCTTCAGCCTCAGAGGCTGCTGCCAACAAACACACATCTTGCTGGAGCAGTGTTTCCTCAGATCACTCCATAAAAAAGAACAGGCTCCTTCTCATCCCACCTCATTTCTGCTCCTGCCAGAGGCGCCTTGGCAAGGCTCAGCAGTGCCAAACCTTCCCCTGCAGTAACAGAGGGGCAGAGCTGGGTTTTTCAGCTGTTCCCAGTGGTGCAAAGCCCCTGCCCACCCCAAACCCTGCTGGCTGCAGGAGGAAGGGGTCCACCTTACCTTTCCTCTGTGCTCCTTGGCATCGAGTCCCCTCAGCGGCTTCACTCGCTCTGCAGCTGCCCGGGCGTGGGCCCTCAGACCTTTAGCTGCATAAATATGTAGAATTCTAAGACAGCAAATAGAGACACTGGTCACTGCTCGGCCATGGACAGCTTTACAGGGTGGCACTGCCACTCTTGGGGGGTTTCACACCCTGTGTTCCACAAATCCACACCAGGAGCCTCAAAGGGCTTTGATCTTAAAGCTCCCACTCCCACGGAAAGAGCTTCCTACCTCAGACAACTGCAGTGTCCAGGAGCCCTCAGCACTCCTGAGCTCTGACACGCTGCCTCCTTCCCACTTCAGCACTTTCCTTCGGGTGAGATTTGCTGCTGGGAGGCACCTAAGTCCTCCCCAACACCCAGTGGTGGGGCCCAGAGTACCATATTTTGTGGATATATCACTTTTTGGGGTGATACAGCCCTGTATGTGTTGGTGAAATCCCAACCCCTGGAGGTAACACACAACCCCTAAGTGGTATATTTGTAATCAACCTGTTAAACTCCACTTCTTTATCAAACCCACTGGTCAGAAGGACAAAGTCCTTGTATTCTGGACAAGACACAGAGTTGTCACAACCCACAGGAGTTGTGGGTTTGCTGGTGACGTGGCCCTGAGTGATGGGGAAAACACTGGGCTGCTTCACTTGGGTGAACACTGGGCTGCTTCACTTGCCTGGCTCTGGCTGGAGCCACTTCCATTCCCCCAGGGCCCTGGGAATGCACAGGTAGCTTTGCCATCCCCCTCTGCACAGGAGGAGACCCATCCCACACATGGTTGGACCAACCCCTGGCTGCCTTTTGCTCCAGACAGCAACATTTGGAGGCTTTTCAGCCCGAAGGTTGCAGGCAGTCATTTCTCTCCTCGGGTAATTCTGCAGCCCAGAGCCAGCCCTTGCCATTTCAGGAAGTATAAATGCAGCTTTCTGGCTAATCTGATTTTCAGTCAAGCTCAGCATTAGCTGTGGCTGCACACCCACACATCCCCAGGGGTGCCAGGAGAGGAGACTAGAGATTGAACTGGCACATGAACTGTTGCTGTGAGCAAGGACTGCTTAAGGAAAGTGCCTCCAGGCTGGATCATGGAATTCCTCCTTAGTCTGCTTTAAAGTGCAAAATTAGCACAAAATCTCACAGCCAATCCGTGGTTCCTGCCTGTACATACAATACTGAACTAATTGATTGCTAAACCAATGCCAGGTCACCCTTTTGGATAGGAAATAAAACACTCTAGGCATGGAAAAGTTACTGTAGATCTTTATTGGGAACAAAAAAAAAAATAAAATAAAAATTTGTCTTTTTCTAACCAGAACAACCCAGAAAGAAATTCGGAAACAGTCAATCATTGTTTTATATTCACACACAGAATTTACATACACTGGAGTGAAAGGAATTGAGAAGCAATCTGAGCAACCATGGGCTTGATTCACAACTGCATTATCCCAGTTTTACCTCCCTTTCTTGTACTTGTAAAACTGGAGTAAGCAGGGGTGAACTAAGCTCCTTCCAATTAATTTCTTTGCTGGGTTTTTCTGCAAATATAAGCCACTAATTTCAATGCACACCTGAACTACTGCTATTTTCCAACAGCTTTATGATCACTTACATGATCTATTGCTTATGTCTTCCAGATTTGTCAATATTCAAAACCAAAATATGGTCAGAAAGCCTTTAAGACTTTCAACCTGAGCTTGTAAACCTCACTCAGGCATTAACTGTGAGGTGACTTGAAATATTGCCTGGGTGGCAACTGGACTCCAGGTAATAAGCAGTGCAATAAATTATTTTGCTGTTAGTCTTGCAAATAATAAAATCACCTAAGGCTCCTGGGCTTTGGAAAGCAGAAAAACCCAGAGAAATTGTGTTCACCAGCCAAGAGTCTGTTGTTTATTAAGAGAACAATAAACAGAGTTAGAAGGGGGTATTTCTCCTGCAAATATATTTGCCTGTGGCATGGCACTCCTGAACATCAACCACAATATTTACAGAGGAAGAAGTAAAAGCTACTCATTCTCCAGGAAAGGAAATCAGAAAGCTGCAAAGGGAATGTGGGAAATTTCCCACAGGCACAGGAGAGGTCCCTGATGTTCCTGATGTTCCCTGGCTCAGCACATCATCACCAGCTTCACACCCAAATGCTACAGAACAGGGAAAAATATTGCCAAATAATAGCCATGGCACAGATTCCTTGTCATTCTGCAGGGCAGGTTTTGGCAGCCCCTGCCTTCCCAGTGATCTCCTGGCACGGGGCCACGTCCTGCAGTCCTGACTCACACAAAACTCCTGGAGACTTCAGTGGGACCAGGGTCTGCCCACTGGCAGAACATGCAGCCACTAAAGCAGCCCCCCATCTCGAGGGTGGGTATTTTAGAGTCCAGAACCACAAAAACCCCTGAGTCCAACCACACCCACAGGGTTGGATTCCAATGGCAGACAAGACCAGACCTTCAAGTTACACCTTTGAGTGAACTCAGATGTTCCATCTGCCCTGCAAATAGGGATGTCTGACTGCACTGGCATTTAGTTCAGCTGTACTGGCTTTATTTCAGATCACTGCACCAGCAGAACAAAACCACACTTTAAATCTTCCTAAGTTCCCAAAGGAGCAGCTCAATTTAGGAAAGAAAAAATGCCGATTTAAGCCCAAAAATGTTTTCTAGTGGCCTAGAGCTGGTAGAAGTTCCTGCATGGACAGGGCAAAGACACACACACAAGGCATTTACACAAAAGCAGTCCTACTGAAGTGGGTCTTGGCAGGTGTGCCCTCACCAAATCCTACAGCTGGCCAAGGATACTCTACAATATGCCAACTTGAGACCCTTCCCTGTGCCTGAGGGTGAAAGTCACCTTGTGCTGATGCTGAGCACAAGTCTGCAGTATCAAAAGCCTGCCTGGGAGAGGCAGCAGGAGCTGCAACAGCAGAGAAATCCTGTGCTGGGCCCCAGAACAAAGCGAGTTTCACACAACACCCAAGTCAGGGAGTGCTAAAGTTCCCAGCCCACCCCCCTCCCACCCCGCCTGCTTTTCCCTCTGTACTCAAAACTCTCTGTGGTGCCAGGTGGAGCATTGAGTAGGTGAGGGGCAGGCCCCAGGCGTGCAACAGCTCAAAGCCCTTCGACAGACAGAGCATGGTTTAGGACATACGTATCATTGTCCTCGTCTTCCAGCAGCAGCTTCTCGATGGGCAGCGCGCCGATGACCCGCCGGGCATCCTCCAGCTCCTGGGGGGCTGGCTCGGGGATGGAGATGGGCACGGGCACAAACTGAGGCCCCGAGAGCGTGGAAGAGGCTGGCTGGTACTGCAGAGTGGAGGCTGGCAGGGCAGAGAGGGGCTGTGCCCACGGGAAGTACGTGAGGGGCGGCTGCTGCTCCGTCACCTCGAGCGGGGGCACCACGGCCGGGGTGCTGCTCCGGGGCTGGCAGAGAAACAAAACTCCATCAAACCAGTGGCCAGGTGGGGCAGGGGGTGGGGGGGACACAGCACAGACTAGGGGTGCTCGGTCTGACCTCTAACATCCCTTTTCCTCTCCCTCTGGGTGCTCTGAGTGTGACACTTTCCCCATGAGAGCGGTGGCTGTGGGTGCCCCAGGTGCTGGTTGCCACGAGCTCACACTCGTGGTCCGGTTGCCTCTAGCTTTCTGTTCCCATTCCCACCCTCTCTGTAAGCCCATGGGACTCTCACACCCTGTGCTGGAAACTGCCTTCTTGACAGTCTCTTGCAAGTTGACTTTGCTGCCACAGGGCAGCTCATTCTGGCTCTGGAACAGCCCACCCTGACCAGCCGTGTCACCCACAGCACGACCACCTCAGGAATGGTGGCACTTCCTCAGCACTGAAGGCCAGAGGGCACAGGCTGGGCTTTGGGTGCTTTGCTGGCTCTGTTTGAGCAGCTGAACTGAAGCACTGAAAGGAAAAATCAGCTGCTTGAGTTCCACTGAAACACAAGTCTCTGCCCTTCTCCTCCAAGGAGGAACAAATTATCTTGGGTTGTCCTGCAGCCAAATATTCTGCTGTCTTTACTATCTTTACGTGCTGTTTTGACCTTCCTCTTCCATCAGTAAATAGCAACTTTGGAGAAATTTATTGCCAAGTCATTCTTCCTGCTTCACCTGTTGTGTTTCCTGGAATCCCATTTACCTGTGTTTGTCTTTTTTTTTAAGCTTGGAAATCAATAGTGAAGAACCTCTACTCAGCCTGGAGGAGTGGAAAAGGCCAGTGAATTTTGCCTGATTCCAGTACAACCACGGCTTTTTTCCCCTGTTCAAACCATCCTGATGTCCAGCCAGTGCTAGAACAGCTACATGGCATGAATGCAAACACACACAACATGATGCAATTAAATAAATCAGACTAACTGCACCAGTCAACCCCATGGCTCTTGCTAGAAGGGATTTAGGGGAATCAGGGAATTGGATAATTCCTCACAGGGAATTAGCTGTCACTCATAACCTTTGGCTCACTGCAAAACTGGCATTTTTGACTTACTGCAAAGTTGGTGATGAGTGGCTGGGACGTGTAAGTCAGGACAGATGAAGGTCCCACCAGGGTGTAGCTGGGACACATGGGCTGCACATACATGTCTGCTGTGTAGGGACAGCTGGCTGCCTCATGGGACACATACTCGGGGTAGGTGGTCCACTGGGTCAGGGGCTGCAGGGATGTGGGAGAGGGCTGGGGGATCCAGCCAGAAGCCAGTGCTCCTTCATCTGTGACTGGCAGAGCAGGGGCAGACACGTCCATGTCAATGCAGGGCTGGCCTGAAAAAAACAGGAGAGGGTTAAAGATTAAACCCAGCCCAGCACAGCCTTCCCTGCAGCAAACACTGGGAGGGTTGGGGATACATTACCCATTGGGGAATAGGAAGGAAGTGGCTGATGGGGCAAAACAACCTGGAAGAGAGAAGAAAATAAATTCAGAGGTGAAGATCATCAGCATTAAATTCAATCCCTTAGAGAAGCACTGAGGGACAGAGCACATTGAGTTATCAGCTGGTTATCAGCTACTACTGCACTGTCAGTGTCTGAATTTCCCCACCCAGAAGGGCTGAGCCTGGCAGCCAGGATACATAAACCCAGCTCAAAGGGACCTTAAACTGGGCTTAAACCTTGTGTTGCAGAGGGAATTCCTCTTCAGAGAGGAGCCAGTCCACCTGCTCCCTCCTGGGAGGGCAAATACAGGTTGAAACCAGGCAGCAAATCACCAAGGATGGCTCTGGGTCACCCCTTTCTGTGCTCTTGAACAAGCTGCCTCACTTCCAAGCCACTTTTTGGCCCTAGGAATTAGATCCTGCCAAGAGCAAAGCACTTTTCCCCTTTCAGTGGTGACTGAAGGTGCTCAGCACACTAAAGGGGGTATTAATGGTATTTGCCAGATAACACCAGGCTGCAGTGCCTGCTTTAGAGATGCAAAGATTTCTTTCACTGCCAAAGCAGTGCTGGGGCTGGTCAATCATTTAGCCACCCAGGAATGGTTTTCCTCCCGTGTTTGCTCTCCTCCTACCGTTGCAGCTGCTGTTGCAGTGGCATTGTGGACATTCCCCCTCTTCCTTTTCAGCAGCTCCTTCACTGGCTCCTTAACACGGACACCTTGGTAGGGCCGAGGCTGTGGCTGCTGGTCTGGAGCAGAAGCTGAGGGGGGAAAAAAAAAAGAGCAGGTGACACTTATTTTCCTCTCTTGGAGCCCAAATCCTCGTGGCAGCCTGT